AACAACGCCTCAAAAGCGTCGCCATCACCGGCTCCGGACACGCCGGATACAAGCTTTCGCCCAGGTCAACCTCTCGAACCTGGCACAAGATGCATCAGCAAGTCCTCCTCGAGCCACCAAGGTCAAATCTTGCCGGATCTGACCACCTTCAAGCCAAGCCGATGTACATGCCACCTCCAACAACCCTTAGCAGAGCCCACAAGCCAAAAAATCTTGCCACAACCGCTGCCTCCCATTGCCGCCCGCAGACACAAACGTCAGGATCACCCGTCTTGGTCGACGAGCACCACCACATCTAGGCCCTTCCGTGCGGCAGCCCTCTTGGCGACGCTCACCTCCGCAATAGGGGGCGCTCGCCCGTCGAACTGTAGCACCCTCGGCATTTACAGATCCATGGTGGACGTGCACTCCAAGGCCAGGGCGCGTGGCAGCATGGCCGCGCACCAGCCTCCTCAGGTAAGCCAAGACCCAAGCAGCAGATCCACGCGACCACGGTGACCGCACGCATCTGAGCCATATCCATGCGCCACCCATATAACTATCTGGCCTCAATTTTTCCTCTACCCAGTCCGGTTTTGGAAATTTTCAGAACTTCTGGCCAGTTTTTTCAGTCATTTTTACTGTGTTTGCTGGCACGTTTATCTTGGCTATGTAATTTATTTTTCTATTTCTCTCTGGTTTTACCTCTTCATTTTTTTGTTCGATTTTTCACATTCATGAACTTTTCTAACTTTGTGAATTTCTTTGAATTCATGAACTTTTTCCATATTTGTGAACTTTGTTTTTCAAACCCATTTTTTAAAAATTCACAAACATTTTTTAAAAACCATGGACTTTTAATTTTTATGATTTTTTTCCAAATTTATGATCATTTTTACAAATTATGATTCCTTTTCAAATCCATAAAATAATTTAATTCCACATTTTTTTTTGAAAATTAAGGAACCTAACCTATTTATTTTCAGGGAAGGTTGACCAGCGGCAATAGAAAACAAGCGAAAAAGAAAAAACAACAAGCAAGCAGATGGGCAAACGAGTGTATGAGCCAGTGTGCGGGTGAGGAGTTAATTGCACGGAACTATCACACTTCGGCACGTCGTAACGAATCAGTACCATTAGTCATTTTTTTTGCCATGCAGTACCAACTCTAAGCCTAAGTGTTGCAAAAAGGTCTGACAGCCGTATAAGCACGTATCTGACTGAGTGACCCCACCTGTCACATGGCATATGTTTTTTTAGAAAGCCCCTCGCGCTATACTTAATCACGTACACGCCCTTTATGAAAATCTAAAATAGATAGCCTCCCATTGCCGCCCGCAGACACAAACGTCAGGATCACCCGTCTTGGTCAACGAGCACCACCACATCTAGGCCCTTCCGTGCGGCAGCCCTCTTGGCGACGCTCACCTCCGCAACAGGGCGCGCTCGCCCGTCGAACTGTAGCATCCTCGGCATTTACAGATCCCTAGTGGACGTGCACTCCAAGGCCAGGGCGCGTGGCAGCACGGCCGCGCACCAGCCTCCTCAGGTAAGCCAAGACCCAAGCAGCAGATCCACGCGACCACGGTGACTGCACGCATCTGAGCCATATCCATGCGCCACCCATATAACTATCTGGCCTCAATTTTTCCTCTACCCAGTCCGGTTTTGGAAATTTTCAGAACTTCTGGCCAGTTTTTTCAGTCATTTTTACTGTGTTTGCTGGCACGTTTATCTTGGCTATGTAATTTATTTTTCTATTTCTCTCTGGTTTTACCTTTTCATTTTTTTGTTCGATTTTTCACATTCATGAACTTTTCTAACTTTGTGAATTTCTTTGAATTCATGAACTTTTTCCATATTTGTGAACTTTGTTTTTCAAACCCATTTTTTAAAAATTCACAAACTTTTTTAAAAACCATGGACTTTTAATTTTTATGATTTTTTTTTTCAAATTTATGATCATTTTTACAAATTATGATTCCTTTTCAAATCCATAAAATAATTTAATTCCACATTTTTTTTGAAAATTAAGGAACCTAACCTATTTATTTTCAGGGAAGGTTGACCAGCGGCAATAGAAAACAAGCGAAAAAGAAAAAACAACAAGCAAGCAGATGGGCAAACGAGTGTATGAGCCAGTGTGCGGGTGAGGAGTTAATTGCACAGAACTATTACACTTCGGCACGTCGTAACGAATCAGTACCATTAGTCATTTTTTTTGCCATGCAGTACCAACTCTAAGCCTAAGTGTTGCAAAAAGGTCTGACAGCCGTATAAGCACGTATCTGACTGAGTGGCCCCACCTGTCACATGGCATATGTTTTTTTAGAAAGCCCCTCGCGCTATACTTAATCACGTACACGCCCTTTATGAAAATCTAAAAAGGATAACGCGCGGGTGGGATTCGAACCGGCGACCTCCCGCGTCACGCGCGCGCAACAGACCACTAAGCCAGCCTCAGTGACATCTTGACAGTACGATACAACTCTTATGTTGTTCTATCTTTGAACAAATAAAATAAAACGAAAAAATAATGCTGCATCAGGATGCGATATATTAGTTACAGTTACTGCATATATTTGTTGTATATTTTTAATGCACAGTTACTCAAAAAATGATAACATGTACTAAAAATTATTGTGTAATCGTAATAAATTTTATAATGCATGATGAACATTTTATAAAATACATTTCAATTTTTAAATACGCGTTCAACTTTTCCCAAAAATGTTCTGAACATTTTTTTAAAATGTACAAACACTTTATTTACCTTTCAGAGTAATTTTAAAATTTCGAATGTCAACCCAGAAACAATGTAGAGACCAGCCGGTTTATTCTTCACACCGACCGTAGTGTGCGTAACGTATACTGATAAAAATCATACACACGTATATATAGACATCATATATTATAAAATGTTCAATATATATATACGATAAACTTTTTATAATATGATATCATACATTTATACTTTTTAGAATATGCAATATATATACATATTAAATGATGCGGCGAACATTTCTTTAATCTACGACGCAATGAACATATACTAACTTTTAATATCATATAAAAACCAGAATGGCTCGGAGTTTAAAGATGTATACGCGTACTAGTTGACACATAGGATGGCATGGGGCAGAGGCAGCAAGCGCGCACGGCGAGCGACTGGGGGGGGGGGTCGATTTCTGGCGGACGGTCGCGCAATTTTCTATTTTGTAAAAAAAACGAAAGGCGCAGTATATATAAAGTTACGCGTGGCTTTCAAACTGAAATCAGCAGCAGCTTTCCCTTCGAACTGCACGATGCGGGTTCGAATCCCGGCGGGACGCGCCTGTGTGGCTTTTTTTAAAAAAAGGTTTCTTGTGCCCGGACATTTTTTTGACAAATAGAGGATTTATGCGTGATTAAATAAGAAGTAAGGGTTGTTTTTATAAAAGAGCATGACATGTCAGCCCCTGACACACGGGTCCCAGCGGTCAGATACACGTTTATACGTGGCTTAGACCGTTTTGCAACACTTAGGCTTAGAATTGGTACTGCATGGCAAAAAAAATGACTAATGGTACTGATTTGTTACGACGTGCCGAAGTGTGGTAGTTCCTTGCAATTAACTCGCGGGTGAGGCACCGGGCCGCAGCCTAGCTGGGTGCGTGGTGCTTAAGGGGAGATTATGAGGTATGCACAAACGAAATTGCTTCAGGGACGACACTTTACGCACGATCTGCAAACGATGTTCCTCTCCAACAGCACTAGCATCAGCTAAAAAAAGAAAAACAAATAACCTCCTGTGTGCACGCTCACTGCTGGCCCTCCACGTTGGATCGTGCAGCTATCGGCTGTAATCTTGTCGTGTGTATAGCAACACCGATGCACAAATTATATTTGGCGCTTATGCGTTAAATAGTGTGTTCATGGTATGTAGCGCGCGTAGGTTTCCTATTGGTCGGCTCATATAAGTTACTAAGATTGGTTTTCTCTCTATCCTGTTTAGTTTTGGGAAACTTTCAGAAGCTTCCGACTAGGTTCTTTCCGCCGGTTTGTTTTTTCGTTTTTTCTGACATGTTTTTCTTTGTTTTTTTTTTTTGGACTCTATTTTTATTTTTTCACTATTTGCGATTTCTTTTTTATTAAAATCGTGGAATTTTTCAAATGCACGAATTATTTTCCAAATCCTTGATTTTTGAATTTCCTATACATTTTTAAAAGCACAAAATTCCATTAGAACTGTGTTTTTTTCAAATTCACAAACTTTAAAAAAATTATGAACTTACTTTAAAATTTATAGACTTTTTTCAAATCCGTAAACAAATTTAAATATTTTTTTTGACGAAAAGACGGCGCTAGAGCCGCATTCAAAGTTAGAAGACCCATCTTTTTTTCCCGGGAAAGCTGACCAATAGCAATAGAAAACGAGCAAAAATGGAGATTAATGAGCGAGCATACATGCAAACAAGGCGTGCAGGCACATGAGTTGGCTCATGGGCGAGACGCTGGGTGTGGCCCGAACACACCCCTTTTGCGCTATAGGAACGAGAGTTGTCAATATCACTTTCTCGTAGTAGGTTTCTATTAGTGCCCCAACTCGCTCCACCTTTGGCACCTTCTTCATCTCTGCTCTTAGACTTGCTTCCTCTTTCTCTGGTATTTAATGTGCGTTCTATGGCCGGTCTAACGACAATGTATATTCGTTTGAGCAATTAAATGGAAAGGGGATGTCCGGTTGGAAGAAAAGAAAGCATTATGTGGCGACACGTAGGCTACCATGTAGGTGCATGGGTTCACTGGTTTCGACTACCATTCAACACTTTTTTCAGGCTAGTGCACAAAACAGAATTAAACGGTCCCAAATTAATTACGTGCCCCAAAAGAGAAAACAACCGTGTCCAATCAATTTCATATAAATATTTCCAACCAAGACCCGAGAAGTAAATGCCAGAGACCAACATAATTAAATGTTTGGCATATATAGCTACAGAGCACAACACCACATTATTTCTTTGAAAGAAAAACGACGGCAATTAAACATCTCGCGACTCCTCCTTGCTTGCCTCAACCTTTGCACGCATGTTGGGTGCACACAACTCATCGATCATCTCCTCCACTGCTTTCCAAGACGACCCCCTCGCCAATATGGACTCCATAGCCAGCACCGATAACTCGGCAACATTCTTTGCCGCTTCGGTTCCGGCCTCTCCGAGCATAAGCTCCCTGACCACTCGCGATATTTCTTCGCTCGTGACCGGACCCCGCATCGTTCTATCACTCGTGTGGACCCTAACCGCGATCTTGAGCTCGTGGACTGCAAACACCGCGTTGAGAGGTTGATCGGCCTGCATGGGCCAAGCTGCGAGTGGCACAGCAGCCGCGACGCTCTCCACCGCAGTGACTCAGAAACCCTCTCACGCTCTGGTGCTGCAAAATCCCCAATTGGTCCACCCACTCCCTCACCACTAAGCCTCTGCCCTTGGTACGCTCCTCGAAGCCTGCACCGAGATGGACATTCTCCGGCCTCACGGCCCATATGAAATCTACCTCGGCCCGCTCCAGCCCGTCTGCGACTTCCTTGAGCTGCACCTCTGGAATCGCGGCCAGCGTCCCGAACGCGACGTACAGCACTCCCCGGCCGGCGGCTGCCTTCTCGTCCAGCCACTCCATCCATGATGGCCGGGCGCCGGCGGCACCCGGCGAAGAAGACGCGGGCTGGGAGAGGCAGAGCGGGCCGACGGCCCAGGCCGTGGGCCTATAGTGGCTGTTCCAGAACTCCATGTACGGTTTCTCTAGGCCTTGGAAGGTGTTGACGATCAGGCCATTGCTCTCCTCTATGGCCTTCGCCAGCTTGCCGTGCAGCTCCATCATCGGCGCAGCCGACGACGGGTCGCCGAAGGGCGCCATCAGGTCCTCCAGCGTGAGCTTGATGTGCGGGAACTCAGGCACCGTGAACGTCGCCGGATTGCCGTCGCCGTCGACGTCGGCGTGCTGCAGCGCCGGGACCGGATCGTGGCTGACGCGCAGCTCCCGCATGACCTGTGCGAACGCCGAGATGCCTAAGAACGACACCCTCGGGACGCCGAGCGTGGCCGCCGGCGCGTTAGTCCAGTACAGGAACGCGTCGGCGACCAGGAGGCTGGCCGGAGGCTCCATGGCGGCGAGCGACGCCTCGAGCTGTGGCTGGAGCAGCGACGCGGCGCGTGCGAAGGCGGCTAAGGAGGCCATGGACGTGAGCCCCTCGGCGCTCTCCACCCCAGGCGGGATTGCCGCGACGCCGGCGGGGAACGCGAGCTCGACGACGGCCGTGTCGTCGGCGCCGGACAGTCCCTCGCGGACGAAGGCGGCGTTGGCATGGGTTGTGAAGAAGGTCACGGTGGCGAGGCGGCGACGACGGAGGTGGTGGACAAGCTGGATGAGCGGGATGGTGTGGCCCTTGGCCATGAAGGGGAAGATTGCTATGTGAGGGAGGACATGGGATTCTGTAGAGGAAGAAGCAAAAGCCATCGCAGTGGAGTGGAGGATAGGTTTTCTCCGTGTGATTGATTTGATGGTTAGCAGAGAAAGCGCAATTTATAGGCCGGGATGGCAAATATATAGTAGGATAAACTTTCGTCAAGGCTGGCTGCTCAATCATGGAGCTGGATTAGATATCCATAAACCAAGTATACCAAATAAGTGAGAGTAAAGAGATGCAAGAGGCATCAATCTTTTGTTCTCAATTTGTTCTCAATCATGGAGCTGGATGAGATTAGTCGTTTGTATATCGGGCGGGTAGAATATATTCGGATGTTGGGAACACAAAGCTATCGCATCAGCTTCCAAATAAAGTCATGGAAAATTAATGGATGTGGGAGAGGGGACACAGGGACCATCTTTTGTCATTTTGAAGATATCAATCTAATAAGCTTCCAGAGTAATCATCCAAAATTGTAGAAACCCTAGCGTATATTATGGGTAGAATATATTCGGATGTTGGGAACAGAAAGCTATCGCATC